ACTTCTTTATTCCCTTGCTTGCAATTGAAACTAAAAAGGCAGATGTGAACCAGCATTCAGACCAAGCGTAGATTATGTATTACATAATTGTACATTTGCCTGTACTTCAAGGTTTGATCCCTTGTGGATATTGCAATAGAGATCCAAGTGAAGAAATCCCGGCTGAAAAAGACCTTTTGATCAAAACTTTTGGCCAATCGTGTCTCTCCGCGCTTATCGGAGATCTCTGCTAGATGGCTCGTTTCACTTTGTTTTGTTTTAATATATATGTATATGCCTGTAGATTTCGTGAGTCATCAATTTTCCTGAATCACAAATTCAAATGTAATAAAGCAAAAAATCTTTTGTAAAAAATTTTTTTAAAAAAATAGGCATACAAGAGCTTTGCTGGGCGTTTCCAAAAGTTACACTATGTAAAAATCCATGCAATTAAAACTGTAAGGGAAGGAGAGAAGCTGTGGGAGAAAAGGGGGGGGGGAAGAGGCAGAAGGGAACCTGTTGCTTCATTTTATTTTATGTTATTTTTTATTGTAATGAACAGCTTACTGTGGAGTTTAAAAATGGGAGCGCACAAGTGACTAAAGCTACACCGTAAACAAGTTTTCCTAATGCATTCCACCTGTTTACACCTCCAAAACCAGCAAGGTCAGATGGAATTGGAAAGGGCTGTATTGCTACACAAATCAGGAAACAGCCAATATTCAACAGGCAAATACATCTCTGGGTTTCGGTCGTGTGTGTGTCGTTCCCGTAACACGAGGGCTTTCTATTTTCTGGCTGGGGCAGGGGATCATCCAAGCCACACGGGGGTCAAATCCAAATCTCTGTCTTGCAGGCTGCCAAGCCAAACACAGGAGGAACACTTCAAGTCTGCTGGTCAGCTTGACTTAGAACTGTCTGTACCAAAGATGGGGAAATTGGTTGCAGGATACTGTTCCCAGTAGCCCTCGCCACGGGGCAGGCCGTTGGAGCCGCCAAGCCCTGGGATTTGTCAATATCTGGAGGGCAATGGATTATCTGCTTTCAGCCTTAAGTCCAGGGAGGTCGTCTTCCCTCTTGGCTGCTACCTGGCTCCTTGCAACTGAAGCTTCTTCAGACAAATTAGGGGTCTTTGAATGCACAAAGCCGCCTAACAGCCTGATTGGGTGTTTCAAATAATTCTCCCATTCTCTCGCTGTCTCCTACGTGGTACAACCGTAGAGGAAGGCAGCAAGGAACTGATTCATGGACCTTCTTAAAAAAAAATAATCTAACAAACGCAAGCTAAACCAGGCCAAGGTGAAGCAGTTGTAGGAACCAGAGGAAATTGGAGCAAAAAAGAAGGGAAAAAGCTCCTTCGCGTGTTTTATATTTCAGGATTTGGTGCTCTCCAGATGTGTTGGTACTACAGTGCCCAAAATTCTTGGCCCAAATACTGAGTGGGCATTATGGGAATTATAATCCCGACATCGCTGTAGGGGCTTTAAGAAAACTAGGGATTGTTTTACTAAAGGGTTGATTAACCCACCTTGTAACCGTGCAGTTGGGCAGGCTATAATAAAGAGATTTTGAAGATAGGAAAGAAGCAGTGGGTGGCTTGGGCACATATAATTAATACTATGCTGAATACAAATATTAATCATTAACTCTATTGAGAGCACATTTATAATTCTTGGATTGTTTATTCTGGAGACATCCTGTAAGGGTGGCTGCCTTAAAATTAAAAAAAAAAAAGATTTGTGACCACAGAAGCCTGTGACAGACAAAAATTCAACAGGTGCCGTTTTCCTTGGCAGTGACAACACTCTCTACCTGTTGCATTCCAGGGTAGCCAGAACAGCTTCCAAGATTAGCACATGGGTTTGTTTGTTTTTTCTTTCGATGCTTTGGATTCAAGACAGCACAGTAGCTAGTACTTTGGAGCTTGGGGCAATTGTGCGGCTGTGAATTCAAGGATAAACAAATGGGCAACCTAATTCTCCCCAGAAAGGAATGATGGGTGCACGGTTCAAAGAGACAATTTTCCTGTAGAGTGTCCAAGGTACAGTTCTTGACTAAAAGAAGCCAGTTGTGCATGAATGGAACCTAATTAGACATCTAGGTGCCACCTGCAAAACTGAGACAAACAAACAGAATACAGAATGTAGCATAACACAGTTGGAAGGCTCCTCGGAGGTCATCTAGTCCAACCCCCTGCTCAAGCAGGAGACCCTACCCCATTTCAGACAAATGGCTGTCCAGTCTCTTCTTAAAAACCTCCAGGGTTGGAGCACCCACAACTGCTGGAGGCAAGTCGTTCCACAGATGAATTGTTCTCACTGTCGGGAAATGTCTAGGTTGCTTCTCTCCCGGATTGTAAAACTCTTAGTGACCCAGATGAAAATGTGTGGGGTTCCACAAGGTGTGGTCCAAAAGCTCAAGAGGACAACCCCGCGGGTTCAACACAAGTGTGGGCGATGCACCTGGAAACTAGGCCGATCTTTGATGGCAGCGTTCGTGGCCGCCATCTTGATTATTTTGGACCACACCTGGGGGAGACCCCTGAGAATAGGCACCCAGAGGCCAGGTGTGGTGAACCAGTAGAACAAGGGGAGAGAGATACAAAGCCTGAAAGCTGGATGCAAGTAAAAGGGGGGGAGGAGGGAGGGGGAAAGAGAGGGAGGGATAAAAAGGAGATGGCGTTTGGGGTAAGGGAGGGCAAAGCGTGGTAGACAGCAGCTTCCTATATATTACACATTTCCTTAAAAGGAAGGCATTCACATCTTCAGTATGCTGGTCTGAAGATTTTTCTTTCTCAGATGGCTTCCCACAACCTTCCTTTCAATAATAGTGTGCTGTATGCGTTATCCGAAGCCAGCGAAAGACAGCATATTCCCACCTATATTCTACCCCACTTATAAGTGTCCCTGGGAATGGGGTGGTGGTAGTGGTGGGGTGAGCAGATAATGACAAAATGCTGGATTGGTCTAATCCAGGAAGGCAGTTTTTAGGCTTACGGGGCGAAAAGGTCACGATGCTAACTTTAGAAAGTGGGAGTGCTAATAGGCACCCTACATAAAGCCATGGGATTCCAACTATTCCGACAATCTTATTTATTTATTTATTTATAAGTAGCCCAAAGACCGAAATAGTTCATATAAAAGAGAACCGGAGAGTAAGGCGTGCGCTAGGACGCAGGCGTGAAATATAACCCAAAGTCAAAAAAAGATACAAATAACAGCAATAAAGGGTTTTTTTTTCCCCTTTAAAAATTGGCCCCGTGCGTCACAGATTTTAATAGTACGTACTCAGCTTTTAAACTGAAGAAGCGTCTCCTGTTAAACGCTTTCAAAAATACGAACAACCCAAGATCCTCAATGTGCTGAATGCAATTTAAAGCATCAGCGGAAATTAGCTGTGGGTTTATACATGAGGGCTTCCCATGTTGATGTCGGTTGAATTAGCCGCCTTTTGAAACCCGCTGCTCTAAATGCACGAGGACTAGTAACTTAGCTCTTTGAAACAAACACGGAGATTATCATTTCAAGCTTTTCAGGTTTAAGCTATAAAAAGGAGCCTCCCTGTATAAATAAGTCACAAGTCGAATGATGAAATTGGCAGAGTTGGCAAATCTTGGGTGAGAAAAGAAAAATATGAGTCAGCGTGAACAAGGGTATTGGAAATTGACTCAGCCGGCTGGCTGGACCCCACACCCTGTTTCTGGAGAGAAGTGCTGCGTGTTTGGGAAAGTTTCAGGCCCCCCATCCCCAAATACACAGGTGTTCTCCCTGATCAAATCCAACAAAATTCTTTTTCAATAAACCTTCGCCTCTCTCTCTCTCTCTCTCTCTCTCTCTCTCTCTCTCTCTCTCTCTCTCTCTCTCTTTGCCAGACTTTTACATTTACGACAATAGGATATGCTAATTACTCCACAGAATTAAAGCTGCAGAAGCCGGCACAGTGGCTAGATGGCTGCAAGGAGTCGTGGTTTTTCTGCATCTTTTGGGTGCCATCTATTAATTATGCTGATTTTTGCAACGCAGGCTGTAACCCTTAATTAAAACAAAAAAAACATGCCAACTCTGAATATGGTTCTTTGCATTCAGTCCCCTCCCTGAATGTTACCTATTAGGATGTTAACTTGGTATCAAGCATTACTAGGGAGACCAGATCGGGATACTGACTCTATAGGACAAGGTCTTCAAACTTGGCAACGTTAAGACTTGGCTGAGGAATTCTGGGAGTTGAAGTCCACAAGTCTTAAAGTTGCCAAGTTTGAAGACCCCTGCTATAGGAAGACTAGAACCCACCTCTCAGGAACCAATATACAAGCTGGGCTGTTGTCCCACAGGCCCTCAGCCCTATACTGCATTGTCTGTTCATATGTCTATGTGCACTTTTCACTGTCAGCCAGGCCAGCCTCGGGAGGGTTTAGGAATTTCAATACTTCAAATAGCACACCATACTACAACAACAACGACTTAACTCACACTGAAACAACGACATGAAGAGTACAGAAGTGGAGTAATGTATTGATGCCTAAGTGGGTGTCAATCCCTGCTTTTTTACAGAAAGGCAGGCCAAAAATGTATTGCCCTGTGCTTTCTCAAGGTCTGTAAAGATGAATCACAGATTCAGAATCCAGGCACACAGCAGCTGGTTCTGAACACAAACGCACTACTGCAACCCACTGCAACACCATCACCAATAATATACTGTACAAGACCATTAAAGTGTAGCAGAGATGGAACAAAGACTTCCTGAAGTCACACCCTGATGATTACTGATCACACATTTTTCAAACCATCTTCATCCCACCTACTCTACAGTCTTGGGGGGTTCCTAGTACCTCCCCATTCAGATAGTAAGAAGTTCCAAGCCTGCTTCCAGATCAGCCTAGGTTGCTTAGAGGCTGCACCTGTTCAAAGGAAAATCCCATCTGACAGGGGTCTGGGCTGCACGACGTATGTCGCATTTTAACACTCCCGTGGGCAGCGCCAGGTAACCAAGTCAGGAGAAGAAAGGAAGATTTTTTTCCCTACCTTGTTCACCAACTGGTTTGTCTTTCTTTATTTGTCTGTTTCTACTCCATGGCCTCTCCAAATTTATGCATGCATTTTAAGGTGGGGGAAATTTGCAAGTATTGCTGAATTGCAACACCCAATAAAGCTGGGATGACTAACACAACATTAGCCAAGAATCCTTACTGCTGAGCAAGGATCCGCAACCAGGCTCCTCTGATTCCACCCCAACGAAGTTGTGTCTACACTACACTGGCTCTCTTTAGCAGGGCACCCACAGGCACACACCCCTGCCTCCACCCACCCACCCACCTTCATTGGTTTCACGATTGATTTGAAATATTTTACAGTTCATCCACTAGTCAGGGGACCTCGTGGCGAATCGCGATTCGAAAAGAGCCAGCTACAACACACAAACCGGGTTGATTTATTAATTAATAAGTTAAAGTACACAACAATAAACAGGTAGCATTGACAGAGAGGCCCTTGAGGGACAAGTTTATGAAGTTCCATCTTGTGGAACCGAGTGCAGAAGGATGACTCAGAAGAGCAGTTAAAATTAGGCACGTGTGCCTCTAGCCAACCCTTGGCCCAGGATTGTGCTCGGTACACCGGTAATAGCGCTAACCCTCCCTAGAGGGGGGGGAGGACTGAGAGAGAGAGAGAGAGCACTGCAGTTATATTTTGTTAGCAGAGGGCAGCCGTGAAAGTAGGCACTACTTCCCAGCCCCCTGCACGCTGCCAGACTTCAGTTGAGAAGAAAGACTTGCATCAAACAAGGATCAAAGGAAGGCAGAGCAGACTGTGGGCTCCAGGATTAGATGCCTGGAAAACCATCAGAGGAAGCGGGCCTGGGAAGACAATGGCAAGGGATTTACTACCTGATCCCTGTTTGTCTGAAGGAAAAAATATACCCACATGCAGCTGTCCCAAAACAGTTGTGAACCTCAGGTGCGCAGGTGGACAGGTATAGACACACCAAGGCTGGGACAGGAAGGAAGAGAAAGACTGGGGAGATGTGAGGGATAGGAGGTGTAGAAAGAAACCGAAGAGCAGGGAAGGAACAGAAAAGCAAGGGACACAAGCCAGCAAAGCTGGTTTCTTCAGATTAAGGCCAAATGGATTGAGCGTTATCAATCTCTTAAACGCTGGTCCGACTTTATTCAAAGCTGGCATTACTCTGCGATTAATCTCTAGGCTACGGAGATGCTTACGGAACTACTTCCTCCAAAGAGTCATCAAAGGGCCAAGTTTGAAGACCCCTGACCTAGAAGAGGGTGGAGAGGAATAGGCCACAGCTGGAGCAAGGAGACGAATGAGGTGCAGATGACAGCCTGCACCCAGGCACTGTGGCTGTAAGGCTTGGCAGCCAACGACTCCAAGGCCGCATGCGTAATCCACCCGCTTCTGTTTACTATTCAATGTAATTATAGTTCTTGGTGTGTGTTTGTCTTGAAGTGTTGTTTTTTTATTTATTTATTTACACACTTTCCAATCGCTTGGTACCCAACTGGACCGCCCTTTCCCAGTCACAATAACGAAAGCTAGCTTTCTCCTGAACTGGTTGAGGCTTTCATAATTCCATTTTGAAGAGGGGTAGAGCGTCAGCTTCCCGGCCATCGTACCAGCCAAATAACCCGAGCGTTTCTCCTTAAGGTCAAAGATGCCTACTAATGTGGCCAAATTATCCTCAAATGCTGTTGTAACTAAAATCAGGATCAACCATGACATTTCCCAGAGTTATCAAAATGAGCTTACTTAGCGGAGCCACAAATTGTTCATAATAACAATAACAACAGAGAGACCCTCTCTTGCTGGACAGCTTTCCTGGCTATTAAAGCTTCATCCTAACTGGTGCCCGCAGTAACCAAAGCTCTCCAAAATACTTTGCCTTCTCAGCATCGTAGGTGCATTTATCCCCAAGCTACTTCTCACAGGCACACAGGCCCCGCAGCCTCCCAACGGATTTCTACCTGGGCCTGGCGCTCCTAATTTATGCCCTTTCAAAGCTGCTTCTTCAAAAGGGAAGAAAAAGAGGCCACCTAAATGAAAAGTCCAATTTCTTTACATTTGCATTGTAAAGCCATCGCTCAACTTCCCCGAAATAAATTTTACTATTTTATTAGAGCAAACAAAATGGTAATAAAACACTAATACAGCGCCTTGTATCCAGGAGAAGGGCTAAAATTAACATAGCCTGTGCTGTGTTTGCTATTACATTCAATTACCTTTTTACTTAAGATTTACATTCTCATCTCCCTTAATCTCCACATTGGTGGTTTCAAAATCACGCTCCTCAAATCAGGGCTAATGTTCGCTCGGGACCGGCTATTATGAAACATAGCTTTGCTCCAAGCGCTGAACGTTTTTTTTTTTTAGTTCAGAGCCAGGAGCTTGCCATCATCCCCGGCAATGCCGTTGCCGATCCAACCGGCTTTGAACCAAAATGATAGATTTTCATGAACTCCTAGTGACAGCGGACGCCAAGGCTGGCGTTGCTGAAAGATAATCACGGTTAGCATTGCAGCATCCATGCCAGGTAGACAAAACTGGCAGAAAGAGAGACAAGGTCTCAGCACAGCTAGCAAGATTTACAGCTTAGGGCGTAAGCACATGGAAGCGCACACAAATCAACCGTTAAAAACTACCTTAAAAACTGCTGTGCGTAAACCTATGATTTCCTATTTACTTTGAAAAATCAGAGAGGCACATTAACAAAGGTTAAAAAAAAAGCAACGGTCTACACAAAAACCTACTCCTCCGAAATTTCTCATCACCAGCATGGATGCCCTTGCTCTCCTCTCCAGAGTTCCACTGTTTACATGTTTTTGAACTTATTCTCACATCCCCACAGACTAGAAACTTATTTTCTTTTTAAAACGGAAGCAGGTTTCCTCAGGATGTTGCCTTCTGCATTCAGTGCCAGTATTTACAATGGGGTGGTGGTGCATTCATTTCTCCATCTCTCGAGGCCCATATATTTTCCCAGAAGGATTTGGTCTACTAAAAAAAAAAAAACCTATCGTTTTCTGCCATTTTGAGGTAGAAATAAACCATGGTAGAAACCAGCCAGCAGGCATTTACAGATCCAAACTCACTTGCATGGGATGTGGCCCCATCCATGTTGGTCTGTGGTCACTTCCCCTCCACTGAGCTCAGTCAGGGCTCCAGTTGTAATGGGCAGAGAGCAGAACTGGTTCTGCGGGAAAACGTGGGATTTCCAACGTTTTCAACGCCGGCTTATAATCTACCGCTGCTTTTACGTTTGTTCTATCTACTTTATTTTTGTCATCTTCTGGGCAAGATATACGCATGTGTGCGCACTCATAGGTGTGTGCGTGTATAAATTGTGGGTTTAGCTAGAAAGGTAATATCTTTTCGCCACGCCTATGCTCCAAGCTGGCTGTTAATGGCAGCACTCCCTGGCTTAGGCTGTATGGAGACAAAAACATAAATTAGAACAAAAGCCGAGATGACAGATGCAACACACAAAGGGGAAAAAAAGGGGGGACGTGCAAGAGTGAAAGGTTTACAACATTCCACGGTTATTTCTCTCTATCTTGTTTTGTTCCTGGACCAATCCAAAGGAACTTTGTTGTTAGCTCGGATCGTTCCTTGGGTCTTTGAGTTCCACCCGGGTTACCTTCCCCCACCTCCAGCGTCCTTCCTGCTTCCCCACCTTTAATAAATAAAAAGAGAAAAAAAAACAACCCACAACTCTAAAGAGAGGAAAGTGGGTGGGGGTAGGTCTATATGCGGTATACAAAAAAAAAAAACACACAACACTTTTATTTTACCTGGTGTCAAGAGGTTTGGGCAAGGGACAACAGGTGTTACCCATGAGTGTAAATTCTGACTCACTGGCAGAGTTCCCTAGACACAAGTCAGGGGTAAAAATACAAGATATAAGCAAGGAAAAGCATATATGGACCTTACTTCCTGACCGTTTTTGCACCACCACCACCACCACTTTTTAAATTCATTTGGAAAACCGTATAGGTCAGTGATGGCGAACCTTTTAGAATCCGAGTGCCCAAACCGCAACCCAAAACCCACTTATTTATCGCCGGGTGCCAGGTGGGCGTGGCCCACTGGGCAGGCGTGGCTGTGGTGGTCATGGCAGGCTGGGTGGGGGTGGCCAAGGTGGGCGTGACCACCTCGATGTTGCTCGTGGGGAGGGACGCATGTGGGGGCCAGGCAGGATTGGGGGAGATCCAGGGGGTCTCTGGCAGGTGGGGCGGTGGGCAGGAGGCTCATTCTGTGGGGTGAGGCGAGGCAGGGTGGGAATGCCATTGTCGCAGGGCAAGGCGAGGCAGGGGTACCATCAGCCCCTGCACACAGAGGCCAGCGAGCGCATGGATGCTAGGATGCATCCGGTCATGTGGGACCTCGGTGAGTTAGCGGGTGGCTGGTTGAAGAGGGATGGTTGCCATCTCCGGGGCGTGGCGCGCGTGCCCACAGAGAGGGCTCTGAGTGCCGCCTCTGGCACCCGTGCCATAGGTTCGCCACCACTGGTATAGGTGCTTGTCATTCAAGGCCTGTATGTAGAAGGCAACAGTCTGGCTCCCAGAAGCAGTCTCACCTAGTCTTTAACTAGCTATCTTAACCTCTTTGCCTTCTAAGAGGTATTATACTTTTATTATTATCCCTGTGATTGGATGTTCCTTATTTAGTACATCTTTATACGGGAACACGGTTCTTCCTATCCATCCGTCTCGTGTCCTCACAATAATCCTGCTTGGTCAGGGGCCGTTTGCTGTTGGACATTAGCAGACACTTTACCGCTTTGAATGGGTTGTGCAGTACCGCAGAGTTTGACTCCTAAGCTGTGTTACCATTCATATTGTTTTTAAATTATAACCATTACACCTTTGTACTTCACTAAACCCCTCCATCTGACTTGACCTTTCCAATGTTTTAAGGAAGTAAATTATTTTCAAACCTGTGTCATAAAGTTTAACCCTTGCAGACTTGTAAAATAATAAACAACGTTGAAAATAAATAAATAAATAAATTCTTAATGGAAGCACTTTAAAAAAAAAAAAAGCCTTGTCAGAGCAAGACACAGATAAAATAACAGCAAATGAGAGAGGTGAATTAAAACCAGGTTGTCGTGCTAGCCAAATCAAACAGTTTGGCAACACTGTGGAAAAAAGGCATCTAGTTAAGTGTATGTTTTATGAGTATTTTTTTTTTCTTTTTTTTCTTTTCCCTGCCACCTGCTACTCCGACTCCTAGGGTTTTAACAAGACTTAAATGCCTCCAAAGGGTAGCTTAATTTTCTTTTCTTAAAAAGAAAAAAGTATCAGCCTAATTAGATAAATCCATTGGCCACGTGGGCTGAAGTTCGTCATGGAAATTAACCTCTTCAAAAGTCCACAGCTACTGAAGTAAGAATGTATGCTTTGGCAAAAGCGACAAAATGAGACGCACGGAGATATAGACCTACACTTTCTGAATGCCTCAGAAATTTTATTCCCTTTCAAAAATTAAATGTTCTCTCTCCACCGAACAGGCTGAGGAGTTTTTCTTGCCAAAATGCTTCCAGTATGGCAGAGAGACTCTGTGTGTACGGCATACTTACCCGTAATTAAATTAACCACAGTTTACTAAATGACTAATTGTGAACTCACATGACATGCTGAACCATAAATTAACGACATGGGTTGGATTCACACAAATGCACAAGGCTAACGTGTGGCTGTCAGTTTAGCGCCTAGCAGTTTTTGAGGAAATGTACCACCTGAGCTGCTGTATCTGGATGCAAACTGCTCCTTCGTGCAGGCTTCTCCCATCCTTTCCTATCTCGGGAGCCTCACAAAATTCAAAATTGGGACGTTTTGGAGTGAGTTGATGCATTTTCTAAGACAAATGATTGTGACATCTTAACTCGCTTGGGTTTAAATACAAACCTTTCACCTTGTTACAACATGACCCCCTCCGTCCCACGTGCGCGTGCCAACCCACCCCCACAGAAGAGAAAAGAGGGAAAAGTTAAATGCTTGTGAAAATATATTTATAGTTGTAATTGGAAAGTAAACAACTGCTTGTGTAGGAGAGGACTATCTATATTTCAGGGCTCCGCAGATCTAACTACACAAGGACTAGAACAGGGCTCTTCATACTTGGCCCTTTGGTGACTTGTGGACTTCAACTCCCAGGATTCCTCAGCCAGCATGGACCATATAAGCCAGGGGTCTTCAAACTTGGCCCTTTGATGACTTGTGGACTTCAACTCCCAGAATTCCTCAGCCTGGTTGAAGTCCACAAGTCATCAAAGGGCCAAGTTTGAAGACCCCTGTGTGTTAAAGTCCACAAGTCATCAAAGGGCCAAGTTTGAAGACCCCTGCTTGTGGACTTCAACTCCCAGAATTCCTCAGCCAGGCACGCTGGCTGAGAAATTCTGGGAGTTGAAGTCCACAAGTCATCAAAGGGCCATAGTTCCCTCATGCTGGCTGAGGAATTCTGGGAGTTGAAGTCCACAAGTCATCAAAGGGCCACGTTTGAAGACCCCTGACTAGAAGGATACAGACAGAAATGCTGACAAAGCCAAATAGCTCCAGGTACCTCCCAGAAGAGGTCTTCAAGATCACCTGGGACTTAAACCAATCATCTCTTCATAACCCTCACAGAAAGGTTATACTAGGTGGGCCAGAGACTGACTCCAGGTCGTTCATTTTGGGAGCCTGGCTCATCATAAATATTTCCAGGGCAGGCCTGATCCTTGGACTGTAGGAGAGGGCTACACTTTTGGCTTGTCTGTCTGTTACCATCTTGGTTGGCAACCCTCTCCAATTTGGATTGCCACTCCCATGATCATCAGCCTATTTCAGTACCCTACTGTGAAATAGTGATCTCTGGAAGTCCAGGGCAATCCTAAAGATGCTATTTGAGAGGCAAAGACTACACACGGGTTTTTTGGAACACCCTTCAAAGAATTCTTGAGCACCGGTGAGGAAACTCAAGATGGCAGGGCCTTCTTTAGTAACTTTCCTCTCTGCAAACTGAAGCTCGGGGGTAAAAACTCAATACAGGTGCCTCGTCAATACAGTACTGTCCTTCACCGTCCCCTGAGAGTGTTGACTATTTAAGATCACTCCTGATATCTAAATATTAATAACTTCACTAGTCCTCTCCACCGTTCCCAAAACTCTGATTCCAGTCTTTAGCAATTCGAAGGGGAGGCAAAACCCTGCAATGAAATCTAACCGAGTGTGCTGTAGCACCACCTCATCTTGCCCAACGTGACAAGCCATCGTTAGTATTCGTTTGGTTAAACCTACATGCCGTATTTTTTCCTCTCCAGCCCATTTAAATGTAATGTCAGAAATGTTCTGGGACTCTCAAGGCCAAGGGGACTTCAGATTCCCTTCACAGGGCTGAAAAAGTTACCACGCTCTCTCTCTCATCACCTACGAAGTACAAACTTTGATCTTCCTCTCAAAGGATGCCCACCCAGCAAAAAGAACTTGCCTCTTCCTCAGCGACCACATAAAATCATTCTTAAAACTTTAAGCCACCTAGTGTCCAAAACTACATCTCCTCCTTCAATTTATATGTACCAACATACACATGTGTGCATGTGTACGCGCGCGCGCGCGGGCACACACACACACATATGCAGCAACATCTGGATATAAATTATTTAGGACCCAGAGAACGAGAGATGCAAGGAGAAATTCAAATAAGCAGACAAGAGAAGTTAGCTGGAAGAGACTTGAAAAAGCATCTTCCCGAATTAGAAAGGCTCACCGTGATGAACAGGTTAAAAAAAAAAAAAGACAGGAATCAAAGTAATAACAACCAACAAAGAGAAAAAAAAATGGATTAAGCTCTCATTTCGACTTTCCTTTTGCCCAAGGAACGTTGAGCATTCATATCTGCCTCATAATGGAGGTGCCATCACGATCCCTTTCGTGAATAGCCCCTCCTTGACCTGGATGTCGTGGCAAGCTGGCCTTCTTGGAAGATATTTCACGTGAATGTAGGGAGATGTTTCATTCTGACATGCACATTCTCCCATGGGAGTTATTCCAATCAGAGAAGCGGACCGGCATTCTCACGACTGAGATTCCACCTGCCCAGGAGTCCGTACCACATGTGGTATCTTTTGCCATTCACAACTCAGAGCAATCCCATTCTAACAGTGCCTTAACGTGCAGCAAACACGACTGGGAGCCGGCGTGTCAATACACTGGAAGATGTAGAAGGGGAGGTGTGCGTGTCAAAGCACAAAAAAAGCATTTCGCCTGGCTACAGAATCTGTTAACAAAGCTAAAAAAAAGTCGCCCACTGAGGAACTGCTTTCAGTGGAGTGGAAAGCAAGGGGGAGAGCAAAGGGACAATCTACACAGCATGATATTTTATTTATTTAATTAATTAATTTGTATTTTGGAGGGGGAGGGGGGACCATCTCAACAAGTGAGCAAACTATCTTAAAATAATTAAAACCAATTCCAAGTATAAATAAGCAATAGCTTGCTCCTTAAAATGCAGAAGTTTAGCAGCAACGCCAGGAAGCTCTTGACTTCGAAAAATTTAATCTGCACCAGAAAAGCTTTCTTTTCAATCAAAATTCAGCTAGAACTTGGCTAAGCCCCCTCTGAGGTCCCTACGGCACAGAGTTTCCGGCCCCCCCAAGAAGGCAGAAGAAGCTTAGCTAACTTTGGCCTGATTAAAAGGATCCCCTTTGTTCCTCCCTTTCCACAACCAGTTTCCCCTTTCCCTTCGCTGTTCTCCCATGTCCTCAAGATTCCTCTCACCTTGAGCAGTGTTAGGATTACCCAGCATTTACACTCAATGCTTCTCTTTATTCCTTAAGACTTATTAAGAATGATAATGAGCTGGAAAGCTGACTACATGTCCCTCTCTTTCTCTCCCACTCTATTTCTTCCCCCCCCCGCATCATATGTATTCTCTCTCTCTTTCCCTCTACGTGCCTTTTCTGTGAAAGGCACATAGGACAAATCGGAAGGAAGGAAGGAAGGAAGGAAGGAAGGAAGGAAGGAAGGAAGGAAACTGAAAGGGAAGGGGAAGGGGAAGGGGAAGGGGAAGGAGGGAGGAAGGAAGGGGAGAAGGAAGGGGAGAAGGAAGGAAGGAAGGAAGGAAGGAAGGAAGGAAGGAAGGAAGGAGAAAACTGAAAGAAAGGGAAGGGGAAGGAGGGAGAGAGGAAGAAAAGAAGGAAGGAAGGAAGGAGAAAACTGAAAGAAAAAGGGAAGGGGAAAGAGGAAGGAAGGAAGGAAGGAAACTGAAAGAAAGGGAAAGGGAAGGAGGGAGGGAGGAAGAAAAGAAGGAATGGGAGAAAGAAGAAAAGAAGGAAGGAAGGAAGGAAGGAAGGAAGGAAGGAAGGAAACTGAAAGGGAAGGGGAAGGAGGGAGGGAGGAAGGGGAGAAGGAAGGGGAGAAGGAAGGAAGGAAGGAAGGAAGGAAGGAAGGAAGGAAGGAAGGAAGGAAGGAAGGAAGGAAGGAGAAAACTGAAAGAAAGGGAAGGGGAAGGAGGGAGAGAGGAAGAAAAGAAGGAAGGAAGGAAGGAGAAAACTGAAAGAAAAAGGGAAGGGGAAAGAGGAAGGAAGGAAGGAAGGAAACTGAAAGAAAGGGAAAGGGAAGGAGGGAGGGAGGAAGAAAAGAAGGAATGGGAGAAAGAAGAAAAGAAGGAAGGAAGGAAGGAAGGAAGGAAGGAAGGAAGGAGCAAACTGAAAGAAAGGGAAGGGGAAGGAGGGAGGGAGGAAGAAAAGAAGGAAGGAAGGAAGGAAGGAAGGAAGGAAGGAAGGAAGGAAGGAAGGAAGGAAGGAAAGGATAATTGAGGAGTTATATAATATAAACCTTCACCCAGGCAACTGGGAGAAGGAAGAGAGCATTTAGAATTTGTGTGTAATTTTCTTTTAAATTCTGTACATCTTCTTTCTTTTGCCTTCCTCCCCCCCCCCTTTCCAAAGACTCTTTTCCTGTTCCTTTCTCGGACTTGGAAGTGAGATGGGATGTGTGTGAAACCAGATGGGAAAAAAGGAAGTCTGCCTGCTTGGGAAGATTCGTTAACACTCAGCTCTTAAATGGTTGTTTAATTGTAACAAAATTTATGCTTTTCCCCCTTTTCAGCTTAAAGCCCTACGCTGGAACCAAGTTAACTTGCAGTTCTCCTCTCTTCCATTTCCGTCCTCCAAGCCTCGCTGTTAATCTGCCCTTCTGTTTTTCAGTACCTGTTTTGTACACCTCAATGGGCCTGGCAAGGGTTAAATCACTCTCCAGGAACTTCCTCGCCTTATGAATAAAAACAGCTTTATCCAGAGGATCGGAACAAGAACAACGGTCGGCAGCCGTCAGCTCTGGGCTGTTTGAACTATCTCACCTTTTCTTCTAATTCAGACATTCATTGGGCTCACAGGCTCCTTCCAGGTAATAGAGAACAAGGATAACCCCCCCACCACCACCTCGTTTTAAATGGAAGCCTTTTAGCCAGCTTGCTTCCTGACTTCCCATAGCCTTCCAAGTCAAGAAACAATTCCCAAAGACTCTTTTCAAAGAGGAGGTGTGGAGTCGGGGTGAAGAGAGACCGATAAGGCAGTCAACACACACACAAAAAAAAAGACAGAGGCACCTCTAAGTATTCCCTGAGCTGAATCTTAATATTTCAAGTGGCAGACAGTCTGCTTCCTGCCTGCTGTTGCCTTTCATCCCTGGACAGACCTCCCGCTCGCTTTCTGATACAGACATCAGGGGGACATTGCTAGGAGCCCACCTAGCTTGCCTTTGAGAGAAGCTCACTAACCACATCGAGACCCATGTACAGGTAGACCATATTTGGGACCAGAACTTCGGTTGATAAGCAAACGCCGTCACTTAGTCAGTTGCAGCTGATTTTTGCCCCGGTGGTTCTCTAAAGTAATCAAAATACAATTGTTCAGCGAATTTGGGGTCCCCCCATCGTCTTGGCTTATCGAAAGAGCCCTGGGAAAGTTGCAAATGGCAATCAGACAGCCCCAGGGCACTGCAAGCTTCATAAATACACGCCAGTTTCCAAGTAACCAAATTTTGATCAGGTGACCGGGGGGGGGGGGACACCGGGATGGCCGTAAGTGTGAGGATCAGTCGTAAATCACTTTTTTTCAGCATCGTCGTATTTTTAAATGGTCATGAAAAAAATGGCCGTAAGTCAAAAGCTACCTGTATTTGTGCTTTGGTTTTTCTCCCTTATCACCTCAGCTTTTTAAGATCTTTAGATAAGTGATGATGGCACACAAATAAAAGAACACCCAATGTAATTTAGGCTTACAATTCTGTGTTATGCACAATAATATTTGCTTCCCCTATGTAACTGATAAGTAACAGAATAACGGAGTTGGAAGGGACCTTGGAGGTCTTCTAGACCAACCCCCTGCTCAGGCAGGAAACCCTATACCATTTCAGGCAGATGGCTGTTCAGTCTCTTCTTAAAAACTTCCAGTTTTGGAGCATTCACCACTTCTGGAGGCAGGTTGTTCCACTGGTTAATTGTTCTAACTGTCAGGAAATTCCTCCTTAACTCCAGGTTGCTTCTCTCCTTGATTAGTTTCCATCCGTTGCTTCTTGTGCTGCCTTCAGGGGCTTTGGAGAATAGCTTGACTCCCTCTTCTTTGGGGCAGCCCCTGAGATACTGGAAGACTGCTATCATGTCCCCCCTGGTCCTTCTCTTCATTAAACTACACATACCCAATTCCAGCAACCATTCCTTATATGTTTTAGCCTCCAGTCCCCTGGTCATCTTTGTTGCTCTTCTCTGCACTCTTTCTAGAGTCTCAACATCTTTTTTTACATTGTACTGACCAAAACTGGATGCAGGATTCCAAGTGTGGCCTTAGCAAGGCCTTTTAAAGTGGCATTAACACTTTGCGTGATCTTGATTCTGCCCCTCTCTTAATGCAGCTTAGAACTGTGTTGGCTTTTTTGGCAGCTGCAGTTATGAACCAAATTGTCCTATTTTTTGAAGATTATTTTTAGTAAGAGTAAAGATTCTTTTTTAAATATGGCAAACCTAAACCATTAAATACTTCAAATAAAAAGATTAGGGTACAGTTATACTACCGATAAGCAGACGTCAGGCAAATTTAAAAGATTTTTACTAAAATTCAGCATGAGGTTAAATGGATCCTATTTCTAGCAGCCAGTTTTCCCCTCTTCACTTTTTATATAGATGAGCTGGTTATAAGTGCTCCTGAATTATTAGCATTGGAGACAAAAAGAAAGCAAGGAAAATAAGGCATCTTAGTAAAGCTTCCAACTAGGTAGATGTATCTTTCTTATTAATAAAGCAAAATGGGGAAAGAATACAAAAAGATTATCAGAAGTACATAAGCAACTGACCACTGCACAGAAAGGTGACTTTAAAAAGAACATGAGGAGTTTCAGAAAGCTAAAATGCTACCCACGCACCAAAAACTAAAATTTGCTTTTCCATTTTCTCAGGAAACTTTTAAAATCTGCGGAGGGAAGTTTAAAAACAAAGATACAGGAGAAAAAAAAAAACCACCCGTTATATAGGTGTCGTACTTTACAGGTAAGTTTGGGGGAAAAAAAACTAGGTATCTGTCCCATTTCGAAGTGGCCTGCTTATTTCCCTATGCAAATCATTGTGATACATTTTGAAGAGTTCTGGGTTTGTTTGTTTTTAGATTTTTATCCAACTTTATTATTTTTTATAAATAACCCAAGGCCCCAAACATACTCATCCTCTTTCCACCTCCTATTTTCCTCACCACGACAATCCTGTGAGGTGGGCCGGGCTGAACGAGAGGGATTTATTTATTTATTTATGAGACTTATATACCGCTTTAAGTGCAAGCACTCTCTAAGCGGTGTACACCAGTAAGCAATGTATATTGACATTGCCCCCAACAATCTGGGTCCTCATTTTACCTACCCCAGAAGGATGGAAGGCTGAGTCCACCTTGAGCCGGTGAGATTTGAACCGCTGACCTGCTGAACACCGTCAGCTAAAGGCTATGGCGGGACTGGAACTCAGAGTCTCCTGATTTCTAGGCCAGCACTTTAAACCACCACCCCCCCCCCCCGCCAACTGAGTGTACTTTTTGACAGACAAGGAAAGGGCAAATCAAATTAAGGGCTGCTGTTTCTTAAAACCAACCCCTCTTTCTTGGGACAGAGAAATATGCCGCTTCGTGTTTGCCTCGATTTGTAAAATTCTCCTTCCTCAAATCAATTATCAATTATCAAATCAATTATTTAGTGTAAGGGAGGACAATGTCAAACTATATGAAAACTGACGCGACCAGCTTTTAAAAGAAATGTGTGTGTGTTCATGTGGAAGGGTGATGCGGGGGGACTACGAGAGATCTGTCGCTGACTTCTTGGTTAAAATATTTTCTTGTTCTAACTCATGTTCTTATGTCACTGAGCTAAAAAGAGAGAGAAGAGGGGAGAGGAAAAAGGGGGGGGAGAGAAGAGAGAGAGATGACTCTCCTTGAATGATCTGTTTAACCTAAGCCAGAGGAAAAAAAAAAAGGCATTAATTACTTATGTGAGCTATGGCTTCTGAAAGACAATAAACCTGCCTTGTCGCCATGGATATGACATATTTGCTCTGAAAACAACACAATAATTAGCAAAGGGGAAAGATACAAGGGGAATATGCAAACTCCTGGGTTTAAAGCCACAGTGTTTCTTTTCTGATGCCATGCTGGGGTGTGTGTGTGTGTGTGTGTGTGTGTGTTTTGTTTTTCAAGTATCCCTCCGTCCAGTTTGCAATTCAAATTTTAAAAAGAAAAGGGAAAAAGAAGAGAAGGGCAGAATAAAAAAGCCATCCCAAAAGATTGAATAAAATAAGAAGAGGAGAAAAAAGCATTTCGAAACTGTAAGGAAGCAGCAGTAGAGAGAGAGCTGGGGGGGGGAGCATAACACACAAGAGAATTAATAAGATTAAAAGCAATAAAGGATGCGGATTTCATCAGACAAGTCAGGTTTATGTTTGCCTTATTTTAAAGTCTGTTTAGGGCTGCTTTGGATAGAACCACCTAGATGAGAGTATGCTATGGATATTTTGCTAAATTTGGGGGTGGGCAGGCAGAAAAATATTGCAAAATAGGTCCAAAATTGTTGCAAGGGGGGGGGAGGAAAAAAGCAAACATGGAATAATGCAGTAAAGCTTTAAGTGGAAAAAGGGAGCAGTCGTATTTTTAAACCTGTCACTTTGCCTTGTCTGTCAAGGAACAATGGCACCAGCTTGGCCCCCAAGCAGATACACATTACTATAGCTGGGACACCCCAAAATGAAAGTTTCCATCAGTCTTAAAAACTGGATCTGGAGCAAACCCTTCCCATGACTGTCCAGTTCAATTACGAAATGAGCTTTAAACGTTGAGAAAAGGGAAGAAAAAGTTTACTGAATAATTGGTGACCTTGAAGTCTTAAGAGTGTTTCCCACAAAAACTGCCTCAAAAGAAAGATATTTGTTCATCTCCTCTTCTTTGATTAAACTCAGAGATAATGCTTCACAAGATCTATCTGAAAGTGTATTAGAATTACTGGGGGGAAAAATATTGGATGTTAGATTTATTTTAACGTGAAGGAAAAAATGCAACAGACTTAATTTGCTCCGGTCATTGATTCTGTACCTCATAAGACAAGTACGTTAAGGAGAAGGCCTTTACAATTGATCATGATTTTCTGTTACTGCATTCGGGCAGAATCATTCAAGATCAGAGTCCAGAGTACAAAGCTCAAGATGTGAATTAAAAACCCACAACTTTCTGTCCACTCCAGGTCTTTTGCGGCTTCAGCCCTTTCTTAACACATTCATACGGAAACTGCAAGCTGAATAACCAAAAATACAGAGCTTGACAAAACCAGCAAACAACCCCCCCCCCAAAAAATCTCAAAAAGACACACGCTGCTTCTTTAAACACTTTCGACACATATGGAGTTTGATTTCTTGAAGAGATCAGTTTAACATCTCCATAGAAACCAGCAACAGATTATTATCAACAGAATAAATAAGTGGCCTAATAAATTAAACAGCCGACAGGAGATCTGGAAACTTGATTACTGAAGTTCACCAATATTCTTCCCCTACATACGCAGATCAAGCCTTCCTAAGACATCTGAGATGGATCAAAAGGTGGCAACAGAACGCAAACGCTTATTTTGTGTGTGCACATATAGGCTGCGGCTAAAGACAAATGGAACTAAGCACCACAAAGAAAAAGGGAAAGATTAAGGTGATCCCGAATGCAGTTACATATGTCTGGAAGGAAGGAACTTGGGGGTGCTTGTATGATGGAAAAGAAATATGGCACACATGGAATTTATTAATCAAGTTCATAGAAAGTTTCACTTCTTTCCCACAGACGCCAAGACAGATCGAAACCATAACTATTTAACATCAAACCTCCACAAAGCAACTTTTTTCAGAAGTTTTCTCAGGCACCAAATGGCAGGAAAAGGGAAAAAAAATCTAAGGAGCACCTGCTGTCATACACACCCAATTCCACATGGACCCTTGACCCATCTACATACATAGTCTCATCCTGCCGCCGAACTCTATTACACCACCAGCCCAAAGGTCTCACGGATCCCCCCCAGCGCTCCAGACTGATCATTCGCCATGTAGACACAAACACTCGCCTTTTGTATTTGTGAGAACGCATCAACTTCTCTCCAGCCAAACCTCTCCCTCCCCAAAATAAAAGGTTTTATAAATCCATGCATAATTTTATGCAGGCCATATCAAACGGTTCCTCTCTCCTTCCAATCCAGGGTTGAAATTTGATGCTTTTATACACAGTGACATTTAGGTAGAAAGAGGGAAATGTTTTCCCTCCAGAGAGAAGAAACATCATGAAGAGAGAGAGAGAGAGAGAGAGAGAGAGAGAGAGAGAGAGAGAGAGAGAGAGAGAGAGAAAGAAAGAAAGAAAGAAAGAAAGAAAGAAAGAAAGAAAGAAAGAAAGAAAGAAAGAAAGAAAGAAAGAAATCCTCTTTTTCCCCAGGAACCAGACTTTTCCAACTGAATGGACCCAATGCCCTCCCGTCTCCCTGGGACACAATCCCTTTTCATTTCCCACCCTTCTGCTAAGGATGATGAGAACTGTAGTCCAAGACTTCGGATGGGCTTCACCAGCTTGCCGTGCCTTTAAAGGGACAGATCTGGGAACTGGCGTCCTCGCGTTCAATCTCTTGCCTGTCAATGCGCCCTAAGCCCAGCGATTTTTTTTTAATTTTATTTCTGTCCTTCTCCAGAAGTTTCTTCTTCCCTATTATTACTACGATTGTTATTATTACGAAAAACCACTATCCCAACCCCAGCTGTCAGCTTCCTCGCAGCAGGCTTGAATTTTGACTGACAGCTGAACACCTGTTCCCTTGTCCCGGGAGCAGCCAAACAAGGAGAGGATCCTTCATTCAAATCCCACTCGCCCAGGACCCCCCCCCCTTCCCAACTCCACCCCTATGCGGAGCCAAGCACCCGCCCCTGACCCGACACAAACTGCACACCAGCCCCGTCTCGTACCCTCCTCTCTGCCGCCTTTATAGCGAAGGTCTTTTATGCCTTCTTGCCTTCTCGGAGCGGCCCCCAGTTCTCCACCCCGTCGGAGAGGAACGAAGAGCGAGCTCTCTTACAAATACAATTGGGTAACCCTCACTGGCCACTTCCAAGGGGGTCCCCCGAATCCTCCCCCGGGCACACCCAGCCGAAGGTGGAGGAAGTGACAAGAGAGGCCCTTTCCCCCCCCCCCGCAAGTGCGCAGCGAGGGAAACGGCGAGCTTCGCCCGGCGGCGGCGTTGCCCCGAGGCTACCTGGCGCTACCCCGGACCCCGCGCGCCTCTCTCCAAGCCCGCGTCCACCCCGGGTCTCCTCTCTCCAAACTGGCGGCGGCGGCGGTAGCTACTTTGGAAAAACTTTGAAGGCCGGCAGCCGGTCAGGCACAGCGGGAAAAGAAGCTCCGACAGCCAGCCATAAGCGTTGCTCCCTCTCCCCCCACCCCCTTCGCCCCGACCCCGCCAGCTGGCTCTTGGGGCGAGAGCGCGTCGCGTGTAGCAGAGGAGAACAAGTGCAAAAACTACTTTCCAACTCGGGCACGTCTCCGAGGGCAGCCCCGGCGGGAGAGCCTTGCTGTCAAGCGCCCCCGCCGCCGCCGCCGCTCTTGGACTCTTTGCAAAAGGTCCGGGCCAATGGCTCGGCGCGGCCCCCGCCGAGCGAGCCGAGTGTTCCGTCTTCCGCGTCCCCGACGCCGGGCCAGGCGGTCCGCGGAGGCAGGGCGCGGGAGGGACCGAGCCGAGGAGGGGAGCGGCGCTCGGCCACCCACCCCACCCCCCCCCGCGCGCGCGCTTCCCACCCACCCACCCACCGCGAGTTGACCAAGTCCTGGAAGCGGCCGGCGTCTCGCTCCCACCCCCCGCACCCCCCACCCCACCCCACCCCACCCCGGCTCCCTCCGGACCAGGAAGGCGAGGAGCCACCTGCATCCTTTCTCCCCACGCGCTCCGAGCGGGGAAGGGGCGATGCGAAGGAGCGTGCCGGCGGCGGCGGCAGCGCTTCCCCCCCCCCCACTCTCCGAGGCGGCGGGAGGGCCACTTCGGCTTTTGGCTTCTCTGGGTCGCCCAAAGCTCCCCCCGAGATCTGCGCCCCCCTTCCCGGGCCGGCCGCCGGGACGAGCCCCTCTGGGCGCGCGCGCCCCCCGCCTGCCTGCCTGCCTGCCTGCCTCCATCCCCCCCCCCCGCTGCAGCCCCGGACCCTTTCCCGGACCCCGCCGCCCGCCTCGCCCTCCCTCCGGGGCCCCCGCGCTCCGGGCGCCGCTTCTCGCCCTGCCTGCCCAAGCGCGCACTCAAGGCAAAAAAGAGTGGCCGCCGCCGGACGAGCCCGGGAAAAAGTGCGCCGGCGGGCGGCTCGGGGCGCCCCCCGGGCAGGGAAGGCCCGGGACCGTCGGCGGGGGGGCCCGGCCGGGCAGAGCGAAAGGTCTTACCTGCACTTGAGCTGCTTTGGGTGACTTTCCAAGTACAGGGAAATGTGTGTGTTTGGGATGGAGGCTGGGAGCGCGCATGCGCCACCTAAGTTGCCCTGATCCGGGATTTTTCTTCCCCCCCCACTCCGTCTCTCCATTTTGCTTTAATTATTGAATTTTCCAATTTCTACCAGGGGGGCAGGCGGCTCGCAAAACCCGGGCTGGACTTCCAGCGCCAACTGCCCCTTCTCCGCGCTGCCAGGAGAGAAGAGGAGGGAGGGAAGGGAAGGGAAAGGCAAGGAATGGACTCGTTTCCCCAAAGGCAGGGAACTCTAAGGTAGGCAGAGGCGCCTGGTAAAACCCGGAGTGGAGAGAAGCACTCCTGCCAACTCTTGGCTGCTCTTTACTCATCTCCTCGGCCCTGCCCGCCGCCGGCACTTTCTCCCTTCTGCCCAAACCACGCTTCCTTCCTGGCTTGCATCCTTTTCCAAAATAACTTGGCCACCTCTCCGGCCAAACTGCCTATTCTGGGTTATAGGCCTCCGGTGCCCTGACTGTACTACCTGTTTCAGGGCAAAGCCTTCGGGGGTTTGGTCCAGGCAGTCCTGGGGGGTCTGCCGTGGTGCGGGAGGGTCTCTGCCCAGCGTTTGAACACCGGCCAAAACCCAACGGGCATAAATCCGATATGGCTCCAGTTTGCCACCTGTGGATCAGGGCAGATCATCATTGAATTGCCTGTTGAGTGTGTACGAAGCTCGTGCAGACGGCAGACTAAAAGCCCGGCTGACCTTAACCTGGGCTTTCACAAGTGGCATAAAGTCTCTTAAAAGAAGAGCTTCTGGGTATTTCCGCTCTTCGGTTAGTTAAGCTTTTTCTGCCCAGGAAGAAAGGGCTCTGTGACCCTATGGAGAAAGGGGGGGGGGAAACCTGGATTTAGTTTGCAAAGAAATGCAAACTTGGAGCCCCTACTGATGACTTTCTAGCTAGCCCACGGGGGACACACCTGGTTTGTTAGTTATTGTGCTTTTCCAAAAACCCTTTCTGCTCTCTTTTCTCTTTCCAGCCCTGTTTTCAACTATTTTAGCTTGGATGTCTTTCTTAGGGTAGATGCCTTTAGCTTTAAGGTCTTTTGGGGGGGGGGGGAAACCCAGTATTTTTTGTTATTGCTTAGTCTCATAAAAATATTTTAGCTTGACAAATCCTGCTAGGAAGGACAGAGTGGATTTATAGCAACCGACGCTACGAAGAAAAGGGTTTTTCTCCATCTTTACCAAAAAGGCTGAGCAATTGCTGGCTCTGGCAGGCGAGACAGACAAACTGGGAATCCCTGTCTAAATACGGCCAAGTTCTTTTTCTAGGTCAGTGGTTCTCAACCTTTTTAATGCCGCGATCCCCAACTGGTCGTAAGTCGAGGACTACTCAAGCGGTCGTAAGTTGAGGACTACTCAACTGGCGCAGCACCGTTTGCAGAATGGGACTCTTGGCGGGCTCAGCAGGGCAGAGACAGCCTGGACAATTCCTATTGGCTTTTGAAAGCCAATAGAATTAGACTCTATTCAAGAGAGTCTATTCTATTGGCTTTCAAAAGCCAATAGAATAAAAGGGAGTAGCACAGCTAAGGAAAAGGAGAAAAAAAATGGCGGACTGCGTTGTTTGGCGACCCCCGTGAAATGGTCGTTCAACCCCAAATGGGGTCCCGACCCACAGGTTGAGAACCACTGTTCTAGGTGGTGGTGACAACTGAATCTCCTATTATTTCCATACAGTTAAACATGCACGTTAGGATGAGTCCATTTGGTCTTAAATCCTACCGAAATTGATAATGCTATTCTTACCTTTTTCATCAACAGACAAAGGACAAGAAAGTCGCCTTCTATCTATTGGGCCAAAAGATGCAACAAGTCCCATGTCAAAACAAAAACATCCGAGTTTCATCTGTCAGAACCATGACATCCCACTTGGGAAGAAACCTCCCATCTTCTCAGGCCTAAAACCAATGCACTCTGAGGACTATTTCTCAATTTTTTTGACCCGCATTTGGATGGGGATAATGTTATTGGAGAACTCCGCCGAGATAAAGTCATGATCCACCAGGTGGGTCAATGAAGTACCTCAACTGAAAGCCAAATGCTTGCCTTTTTTCCCACTCTTTTCAAAGATTTTCTGCATAACCCAAGTAGGGGTTCTGTTAAAGAACAGCAAACCTTCTCTATAATAAATTAACAACATGTTTGCTAGCAAGTAACTATTATTATCCCCGGTTGAAATCTCCAAAATAGAATTCCAAAGAAACAAGAGATAGAGTTCGAATGGAAAGAAAACTTTCCTGGGCTTAAGGCAGGGGTCCCCAACCCACGTTCCATGGACTGGTATCGGGCACGGCATGCCAGCCACCGGTCCGCACACACAAGCAAAGCCCCATCTGTGGGATGCCCGCAGCACACAAAACCACGCACCCTCTGGTCCCTGGGAAAACCTCTCTCCACGGAACCGGTCCCTGGTGCCTCAAAGGTTGGGGACCTCTGGCTTAGGGCATAGCAATAGAGCACATCCGTCGCACATGTGTTGTGCAATTAAATAGATGGAGCAATAAATAATAAATTAATGAGTAGCACTAAGGAGACACACACACACACACACACACCCCCGGCATTCTGTACCTCTTTCTTGAATGAATACTCCACAGGTCCTAAATCTTGGCACAGGAACGCTAAGCCTTGGTTCCAGCTGAGGTGTCCAAAACCTGTAGCAAGCATAGGGAAACGGTGGGTAACGCCAGGTTCTCCTTTCCCAGGGGTTCAGCACCCGACCATAGGGACTACTGGAAGAAAGCACCATGAGAATCCTCTTTCATTGACTTGTCAAATTCTTAATGGAAAGGGGAGGGTGGCATATTCACGTCTTATTGATCACGTTTCAAGCCAAAATCTATCCCTGGGAATCTAAGAGGGGTAATGAAAAAGCAAATCACCTGCTGTTTAGGAAATCTGTTGACCTTCCCCTATACTTTTTAAAATAGGTGAGGGGGGGGGTAATAAACCAGAAGCCCATGAGTCTTCAGAGGAGCTTTTTGCTTAAGAGGTGTCAGTCCTTACTGTGGCATGTTGGGGTCTTAAGTCAGTTCTGGCCAGCAACTTCTGCTTTTTACTACTGCAGAATTTTTTCATGGGACAATTTCTCTGCTGTAGCCTCAGAGGCAGCAGAACGAGACGCAAGGATAGGTCTGCCTGTCTAAGGCCTTTTATTAAACACCGTGTGACTTATTTTGAGTCAATACGTTAACGTATTTAACAAGACGAGAACAAGAGGAAACGCGCTGCCTGCTTGCTACACTTAACACCACACCGAATTTCTCTCTAATTCTTCCTCTCACTGGAAAAGCCCAAATAAATGAACTGCTCAGAAGAAGAAGCCTCTCTTCAGCCTTAAACGCTGTCATATCTGCTTTCATTTCCCCCCTTTATTGTCAGTTTACCAAAAGCAATTAGAGCATATCAGACAACCACTGTTTGCCAAGTGCCATTTTCTCACATGAAACTCTTGCTCTTGGGTTACACATTATTAAAAAAAGAAAAAAGAAAGAAAGAAAAAGAAAAAGTCTTAATCAGGCAAATATTTACACGGAAAGCTAACTTTCCCTCCGCAGATACACACGCGTGCACCCCTCCAGAGCTGCTGAAAACGGATAAAAATTCCAGCAGTGTTGATGGAACAAAGGCTCTCCATACTAAACTGACCCCCCCCCAAAAAAACCACCTTTCTTGAATAGCCAAGTTAGCCTTGTCCTTCTGCAGGGTAGATTGCCCTCCTAGGGCAGTCCACTGAAATAAAATTTGAAAAAAATGAACGCGTACAGAGTCCCATACAAACCCCCGGCTCGAAACAGTGAAACTGAAACATTTCCAGCCTTGACTATAATATAAAGGATATATTCAAGAGAGTTTGTGTTACAGCACTGCCCCCGAGTTATACCTTTGTCTGCTTCTTTTTTTCCCTTTTCAAACTCACGTACACGATAGTCTCTCTTAAGACATTGTTTACAATGCTCCTGTGCTGGGCTCTCTGATAGCTTATTTGGAATGGCCATACCCTGCCCCTCAAGTCTTTTGCTCATTTGAGAGTTAATATGATTCTTTCTAATCACTTGTTAAAAGGGGCCTCCCCTGGCCTGCTGCAGCTAATGGACTTTTAGTTATGTTCCCAGTTTATTCAGAAAGTAACCCAGGGCACCCCGTGAGTCAGAAACGAGAAGAAAGAAAATAGGGAAGACCCTGCCAACAAGGTCTGGATTGCCACCCCTTGGCTGCAAAGAATTCAGGATCCATCCTTCTCTTTCTCCCAAGATGACAAAATTACATCTCGTTCATCAACAGACATGGGAATGCATCAAAAAGCCAGTGGACTCTATAGCATAATAATAATAATAATAATAATAATAATAATAATAATAATAACAATAATAATAATAATAACAACAACAACAATAACAACAACAACAACAACAACAACAAAATGCCAAATCCAGTCTGAACATCTGGCTGACTGTGCGATGATCCATAATAATAATAATAAGAAGAAGAAGAAGAAGGAGGAGGAGGAGGAGGAGGAGGAGGAGGAGGAGGTGGTGGTTGTTGGAAGGGACCTTGAAGGTCATCTACTCCAACCCCCTGCTCAGGCAGGAAACCCTATACCATTTCGGACAAATGGCTGTCCAGTCTCTTCTTAAAAACTTCCAGTGTTGGAGCATTCACTGCTTCTGGAGGCAGGTTGTTCCACTGGTTAATTGTTCTCACTGTCAGGAAGTTTCTCCTTAGTTCTAGGTTGCTTCTCTCCTTGATTAGGTTCCACCCATTGCTGCTTGTCCTGCCTTCAGGTGCTTTGGAGAATAGCTTGACTCCCTCTTCTTTGGGGTAGCCCCTGAAATACTGGAAGACTGCTATGATGTCCCCCCTTGTCCTTCTCTTCATTAGATTAGACATACCCAATTCCAACAACTGTTGTTCGTATATTTTAGCCTCCAGTCCCCTAATCGTCTTTGTTGCTCTTCTCTGTACTCTTTCCAGAGTCTCAACATCTTTTTTACATCGTGGTGACCAAAACTGGATGCAGGATTCCAAGTGTGGCCTTAGCAAGGCTGTGTAAAGTGGTATTAATCAATCATCCTTTCCCGGATGCCTTTTGTGGTGGTGATGGTACATCAGCCATGCAAGTGAATGGGAATGGCTCTTGAGCCATTGTCTTCAATGGGTTCTGGAGGAATTTCCTTGGCATAATGGGAAGAAGGAAGCTGGCCGAGGTCAGCCTTTGGACTCATCCAGCAGCACCTTTCTCCAGCTCAAAATGCTGAACGTTCACTAGAAATGCCTTGAATATCTGACCCGCGGCAATTTAAAAAATAAAAAGAGGTATGCGGTAACTCGGCTTTGATACCTGATTTAATATTACAAGGTAGTAAAAGTGGCAGGAAAGGAGGTGATGGCCACCCGAACAGCTAGATTGCAGACATTATTTATGATCAAAACAATAAAGTAGCTGGGGGCGTGGGGGGGTTAGAGACAGAGAAGGGAAGCCTATATCCAGACAAGCCCATGTTAGGTAATGACAAAGTCATTTCCCTTTTATTATTTTTCAATAAGGTACATATGTTGAATGCCTGTTCCATTTTTATTTTTTTTTCTCTCTCCAGGGCCTTCTTGCAGTTCCCATCTAACCTACGCTGCAGATTTCAATGCCGTGAGAGGGGAAGGAGAAAGAGGTGGTCAGGCCTCTTACACATTAAAATGGACAGTTTGGAAAGAGGATTTTTTTTTTTCTTGCAAGCAACCTGATAGATGTCAAAGAATCATTGCTCACTCACGTGGTCTGCTTTGTTTAACAATCCCCACCAAGTGGGGGGGAAGGGAAAAATCAAGGACAGTGAGACCCATGTGACTACTCCTATACATATTTACTCAGCTATAATTCCCACAGTTTCTCATGGAACGTATTCCCCAAAGCCTTGGCCATGGTGACTGGGGTTAGTTAAGAGTCAAGGCCAGTGATGGCGAACCTTTTAGAGACCGAGTGCCCAAACTGCAACCCAAAACCCACTTATGCATCGTTGGGTGCTGGGTGGGCGTGGCCCATTGGGTGGGTGTGGCCCATTGGGTGGGTGTGACCCATTGGGCGGGCGTGGCTGCGGTGGTAACGGCAGACTGGGTGGGACTAAAGAGTTCAATCAATCAATTCCAACTTTGCAAGATCTTTTTTTTTCCCCGCAAGAAGTTGAAATGGACTGATTGATTGAACCTTTTTTTTTTTTGCACACAGCAGCGGAGGCCTAAAGTAAAAAGGTTTTATAAAACCCAGCTGAAGGCCTAGGACTGGGGCGACGGCACACGTGCCCACAGAGAGGGCTCTGAGTGCCGCCTCTGGCACCCATGCCATAGGTTCGCCACCACTGGTCTGGGCCAGACATGTCAAACACAAGGCCTGGGGGCCGGATGTGGCCCGCAAAGTGGTTTCATGTGGCCCACGAAGCCATCCTGGAAACAGTGAGGGAACGGCCCCCACTGCCTTGGCCCTGGCCCTGGCCAGCCGGGAGCCAATGTACAATTTTGTGGTGGCCATCTGTGCTGAAATGCATTCAGTCTTAGCTCCACAAGGCTGTCTGGAAACAGTGAGGAACAGCCCCTGCCCACCCCCTGGGTGTATGCTGGGGAGGTGTCACCCTTTGTGAGGAATGAAGAAATGCACCATCGCCTGGAAGTGGCCAGCAAATGGCCCTTGCCTACATCACATATCCAGCTTGATGGGCTCTACCCTAGTCCCACCCCTTTCTGTCAAGAGACCCTCAGATCTGTCCCACTCCTGCCCAGGCCCCCACAGGCACCCTTGAGGCGAATGATGTAGAGCTGGCCACGCCCACCCAGTAGGCCACACCCACCCACCCCACCACCACCCCGAGGGCAACCACAATGCTGATGTGGCCCTCAATGAAATTGAGTTTGACACCCCTGGTCTAGGCTGTAGCCCAACATGTGTCAAGGGCAGCAGGCTAGGAAAAACTCTCTAAAATTCCAAGGTATTGTTCTCTGTGCTGCTATGGAAGATTGCCAAGAAAGGGGGGAGGAGGGAGGCCCCCCCCACCGCCTTCTTCTGTGCTTCAGGCTACCAACACTGCTGTCCAAAGGTGGGTAGTGTAGCGACTTCCTGTTTAAAGATTGTCAGATGATCAGTAGAGCCAGA